GCTGCTTGGCCTAGCTGAGTAGCTTCTTGTTTGCCTATAGTACTTGTCCTTCTTGTTCTATCTTTGTATCTATCTTCTACCAGAAAGAAAATCTACTTCCTTCAAACCCAGAAGAGAATTAGTCTCTACTAGGAACCTTTCCAAGGCCTCTTCCTTCACTCAGACTTTATTATTTTTATATTTGCACAACTTCCAACCACCTTGTTGTTACACTCCTAATTCAGTATTATCCTCATTTGAAGCCCACCTTCTGGTGTTGAGTAAGACTTTTCTAGGCTGTACATCTATCTTTCTGACCACTGCACCTGCCAACCTCCCACCCCATCCTTGGCAACACTACATAATAGATTTAGTAACTTAGCAAAGATTTAGTTATGCTATTTTATTAAAAACAAAAGCAAACCCATTTCCTTAAATATTTGTCACCAGTGATCATTAGATTTGTCCATAACTCCTCTTGTATCTCTCTTCCTGCACTTTCTCTCACAGATTTAGTCTATTCCCAGGTATAGTGACATAAGCTTTTACACAGGACTGCTTATTCATCTCCACAGCCTTGAGTCCCAGCTTCTAAGGCTCTGTCATGACACATTAAGATCTGCCATCAACTGAGCCACCTTCCTCAGTGTCTGACTGTAATGGTGGATAACCGCATAACCTCAGAACAGGGGAGGCAGCCTTGGTTTAGCGGCTATGTTTACAAGCAAGCTGTTGGCCAGAACAAAACTACACTGAGCCCAGGCTACCCCTTCCTTACTGAGCATTTTCTCCTTCCAGAAATGCTGAATAATTCTTTTCCAGTGATACCTCTGCTACCAAAAAGTCTTTCCTCCCTAGGGCAAGCCTTTGCCTGACTGGAAATCAGGAAGGGTGTCATCAGGTCTTATACAGAAAGTGGAGGGAAATGCTTAACCCAGAAGCACAGTTACTCACCTACAGATTCAGCAGTCTTTAACTCTACTTGACCTTGGGCAAACTGTCCTGGGTTGCCCAGGCATAATTGGCCAATTTCTAAAATTTTTATGAGGAAGTCTGTTCTGTCTTCCTCAAGACCACCCACAGATCCCAAATAAAATACTGCTGACAAGGGTATCAAAAATATAAATGTATAAAAGGTTGGGGGAATACATTCTGTTCAATATTTACACATTTTAAGCTACAAGTTCTCCCTAAGCCACCTTGAGACCTCAGTCAAGTTACTTTAAATTAGAAAGTTCAACATACCCAGGCTTGACACAAAATGTGCACATCTATTACACAGAAGGGTCACATGAGCAACTGCCTTAAAAATAAACCAAGTCAGCTTGCACAAACATTTTCTGAATTAGATTACTGATTTTGACTGGTAAACTGCTTGTAGTCACAAACTTAAGGGAAGAGAATATGGGAAACTGTGGTGGAGAAAAATGGGCTGTCAAGTGTCACTACTGGAAAGGAAAACTCGGAGTATAGGCATCAGCAGGTTAGTAAGACTCTTGAGTTGGAAGACAGGACCAGTCTTGGCATGCAGTGGAATATTCACAAGGACTTTCTGTTTGACAGATTATTGAAATGTCTTTTTGTTAATTGTTACAGTTGGTTTAACTTGTGCTTTGCTTCGGAAGCCTTTGGCACTGGTGTGCATAATTCACTCCCAGCAGCCCTCAAGCTTGGTCAATATTGTTGAATGGTTTTCTTAGGAAGGGGTTGTGGTCCAGTGTGAACGGTGTACAAGTGCTGTTTTTCCTATGAGGTTCTGTGAGATACAGTGCACCAGCATGCTCCTTCAGGTTATATTTCACATGTGTAGATAATTTTGCAAACTCTGATTAACACAGCTATATTATTTACTCACAGTCTGACTATATTTTAAATGAATTAGGGGAAGTATTTTTAAAATATGTAGAAAACTGACCCATTTTATATTTTTTTTATTTCAACTATGAAAAGCAAAACAAACAAACAATGACAAAAGAAAACAAACCCATAAATATCTAGAGTTACCTAAAATAAAATTTTACGTGAATTTCTTTCTCATAGAAACTGAACATTTATGGCCAAAGATGTAGCTTGGTGGTTGACACTTGCCTAGAATGTGGTCCCATACCCATCACTGCATTACCTAATGGAAAAAGCATTTTCTTGTCCTCTAATTATGACAGAAATTTCTCAGACCTTTATATTTCTAAGGTGGAGACAATGTTTTGTTTGAATGGTGGAAAATTGTAGTATAAAAAGAGTACGCCTAGCTAACTTTGTTTTGAAGTTTCCTATGTAGAAAGGACACTATATAATAAAGGAATAATACTGCCGATTGTGCATAGTCAAAAAGCAAAACCAGCATTGATTCATTGATTCATTCATTCATTCATTCATTCATTAATGGCCAATTGAAATCCCCAGGCTTTTCAAAGCTGAGTAATTTTTTAAAATGATTTATTTATGTATACTGGTGTTTTGCTTGCCTGTATGTCTGTGTGAGAGTGTCAGATTCCCTGGAACTAGAGTGACTGACAGTTGTGAGCTGCCATGTGCATGCTGGGAATTGAACCTGGGTCCAGTGTTCTTAACCACTAAGCTATCTCTCTTAGCCCCCAAAGCTGAGTAATTTTCATGACAAACTCTTTCAGAACAAGAGGAACAAAACGCTGGTGTTTCTAATACTTGTCCTAAGTATGTGACTACTGAGAGATTTGTTTGTTTGTTTATTTATTTATTTACTAAAACAATGTCCAGTTCAGTGTTATAAAATCATATTATAAAACCATGACTTCCCGGAACAACTGACTGCTAAATTGCTTGTAGCTGCAGGCTGTTATTTGCTTTTAAGTCGTAATCCTGGCCACCTATGGAGACAGAGTTTCTGTCCCAACCTTCATATGCATCTGCCCCTTCTCTCCCTCATCTTTACTGTTTTTCTTCTGGCTTGGAAATTGTGCACATGAGCTGATATCAACAAACAAAATTACTCTTATCCTGGCCAGTGTCTTCTTATTCTCCTATAAATGAAGAGAATAACTAAAAATGCTTTTTTCTAAGGAGGTAGAAGGTAAGTTTCTATGTTGAAGACACTGTGTACTTTGGATATAGAACACAACAGAACTCCTACCAGAGAATTAGCTTTCATGGCCCTAGAAAGCATCTTGCAAGCTTCCGAAAGAAAGAAGTAACTAACAGCCTCATTTAGTTGTGACAACTATGAACTATAGCAACAACCAGCATGGCACAGTAATCCTAAGGATGAAGTAATGACATACACTCCTGGACAGTGACCAGCTCTCTAATAGAACTAATAAGGTCCTCTTAGCTGGAAACCCAGTTAACTGGTACTGAAAAGCTCGCCAACTATCTGCAGCTAATGAAATCTTGGATCGTAGGGGTAAAACCCACAACTTCTACTTTACTAACCTAGCACAATCTCTGATTACATTCTAAGTATTTGTCTTTCTACTTAGAGCTAAGTATAGTTCTTACCGTTCATGAAAGAAACTTCTCTTCACATCATAGATGCAGACCATTATAGAAAACCACAAGTGATCAAAATTCAGATTTTTGGAGCTCACTACCAACTGATACATCTACAAAGTGACTCGTACCTAAGGCTCATGGTTACTGAAGAAGAGGGGGCAAAAAAGATTGCAAGAGTCAGAAGAACTAGGAGTTTTCTGTGAAATTGTATCTCCTGGAAATTTAAGAGAGTCTATACACAATAAAGTCAAATCAACAAGGCTGTTGAAATATGACCTAAACAAAGATGGCAATGATATACATGCTAAAGTGGACAAGGGATGAGGGATTAGGGCTTGCTTAAAAGGTCTAAGCACCACACAAAGAAATACAGAAAACCAGCAAATGCTGAGAGCAAGGGAAATAGTCTTTCCCAGAGACTAGCATAGCAGTTGTTTATTCAATATTAAATAGTCAGTCCTGAAAACATATATGTTGAAATAACATATATATTGAGAAGGTTGAGGTTTTATATTTATATATATATAACATGCATGGGGGTTGGAAGGAGGAAAGGAAAGGGGTATAGATATAATGATATTCTTAATAATAATCTCAAATTAAAAGTTATAAAAAACCAAAACTATGAGATAGAAACAAAAAGAAAGTATCTTTAACAAATGGTGTGGTCTAACTAGGCGTCTGCATGTAAAAGAATGCAAATAGATCTATGTCTATCATCCTGCACAATACTCAAATTCAAGTGGATCAAAGACCTCAACCTAAGATCAGATACAATAAATCTGTTAGAAGAGAACCATGGGGAAGATCTTTGAATGTACTGGCATCAGAGATAATTTTCTGCATAGAACACCAGCATCTCAAGCATTAAGATTAATTAACAATTACTATATGGAATCTTATGAAACTAACTAACTTCTCTATGGCAAAGGATGTGATTAAAGGAACCAAATGGGAAAAGATTTTCATCAACTCTACATCTGAAAGATCCAAAAATATATAAAGAACTCAATAAACTATACATCAACAAACCAAAATTACCCAATTTAAAAATGGGGGTACAGATCTAGAGAATTCTCAACAGAGGAATCTCTAGTGGCCAAGAAGCATTTAAAGAAATGTTCAGCATCTTTAGTCATCAAAAACAATGCAAATCAAAATGACTCTGAGATTCTATCTTAGGTATCCATCAGAATGGCTAAGTTCAAAAAGTCAACCAACAGCACATGCTCTTGAGAATGTGGAAAAAGGGGAACCCTTCTCCACAGCTGGTGGGAGTGCAAACTTCGAAATCAATTTGGGAGTTTCTCCAAAAATTGGAAGATCACTTCAAGAGCCAGCTATACCACTCCTGGGCACATACCTTAAAGATGCTCCACCATACCACAAGGACATTTGCTCAACTATGTTCATAGCAGCTTTATTTGTAATAGTCGGAAAATAGAAACAGCCCAGTGTCCCTCAACTAAGGAATGGATAAAGAAAATGTGGGATATTTACACAATGGAGTATTTTTCGATGGAGTATTATTCAGTCGTTGAAACAATGACATGGTGCTCTCTTCGGCAGCACATGCACTAAAATTAGAATGATACAAAGAAGACTAGCATGGCCCCTGTGCAAGGATGACATACAAATTCGTGAAGCATTCCATATTTTTAAACTTCGTATTGTAAAAAAAAAAAGAAAGAGAGAGAGAGAAAGAGAGAGAGAGAGAGAGAGAGAGAGAGAGAG